CCCGCAGGCTCAGGCAATCCATTCACCTCAGCCTCCCAAAGGCGCGGGATTACAGGCTGAGCCACCGAGCCCAGCTGAAATTGAAGTTCTTAAGTGAAGTTCCATAAGACAGCCTTAGTTATTTCTGTCTGCATTCTTCCATCATCTGCCTTTCTTGGCACTTGCCTGGTAACCGCCACTTAAAATATGGGGACCCCTTTATTTCTTAGGAAGGACTATTTTCCCCACCACCCAATTCTATTTAATTCCTCTGTTCCCCATCCTTTCTGTGACCCTATTCTGTCCCTCCACATCTCTCTCACCTGTCCACCCCCATCTTCACACTTCAGTTTACCACCCCCTCTCTGTTCTTAAACCTCCTGGTTGCAACCTCAGAAACTGGTTCCCTTTCTATTTTTATCTTACCTCAGAAAACCTACTGCCTCAGAGCACAAAGCCTTATTTTATTGAGGCCACTAAAACTGCAAAACCAGAGGCAATCCCACATCCTCTTCCAAGGCTCTAAAATCAAGACCATAACCAAGCAGGGTCTAGCAGGTACAGCCAAGGGCAAAGATGATTTCCAGTGGACAGGATTTCCCATTGGCCTTTTGATTTCCAACCTTTCCCAAAAGCAATACATGTGAAGCGCAAAGCAAAAAAGGGCATTGTTACCACTCCACAAAATGGGTATAACACTTTTTAAAACCAAAGTGAACTGAAATTATCTGTAAAAGCACTGCGACTCCCTTTGAGGAAAGTGGAAACACTTTAGGACGGAAAAACCACCCCAGGGCTGGAAATCTCTGCTTTAGGTAACATTTCACTAGATCAGAGTGCCAGGACTCTCCTCCCACATGGGCAAGCGACCAGATTTACTAAGCTGCAGCAACAGGTTTCTTTTTTAAAAAGATATCTTAAAAATGTGTGTTAAAAAAACAGGTTGCTTGGAGCCCCTAAGGAACACACACACACACACACACACACACCAATTAGCGCAGTGCGTGGGTGAAGGAACACACAC